TTTTTTTTTTGTTTTTTTTTTTTTATTAAAATAATCACCAGTAAAGAACATCGCATAGCTCATACTTTGAGAACTTTACTTTTTCTAATCGATCAGATATATATCATTGAAATAATCAATGGATGTGATAGTTAGTGAGAAAAAAATCAGGCACGAATTAATTCACCGTGTGGTTATGATATGATATCAGTTATTAAGCCGTTGGATTATAATTCCAAGTGCAAAGTTTACAGTCCAATTATATCAAGTACAGAGTCAAAAAAACGGGACGAGTCAAATAAACCGGGTATGAAATCCATATGGTAGAATGCAGTCATGAGGAAGCAAGGGAAAGAAAGATAAAGATAAAGAATGGCCGTGTACGATAAAAAAAAAAAGTAGGGAAAAGCCAAGTTCTTTCTTACGTAACTTGCAACATTATTCCGAACCCATATAGCTGTAGCTATTGATCTGCTTAACATGGAGCAAGTATCGTTATGCAATTTTTTTTGCGAACGTTGAAATAACAGGAAGAAAAAACTGCAAGCTTAGATTGGTACAGGGAGTTTCATCTGGTACCCTAGAGTGGAGATGCTGGCTGATCCAGTGGCTGTAACTACTGATCTGGTTAATATAGAGCAGGGATAGTTATGCAATTTTTTTTTGCGAATATTGAAATAACAGAAGTAAGAAACTGCAAGCTTAGATTGGTACAGTGAGTTTCATCTGGAACCCTAGAGTGGAGATGCTGGCTGATCCAGTGGCTGTAACTACTGATCTGGTTAATATAGAGCAGGGATAGTTATGCAATTTTTTTTTGCGAATATTGAAATAACAGAAGGAAGAAACTGCAAGCTTAGATTGGTACAGGGAGTTTCATCTGGTACCCTAGAGTGGAGATGCTGGCTGATCCAGTGGCTGTAACTACTGATCTGGTTAATATAGAGCAGGGATAGTTATGCAATTTTTTTTTGCGAATATTGAAATAACAGAAGGAAGAAACTGCAAGCTTAGATTGGTACAGGGAGTTTCATCTGGTACCCTAGAGTGGAGATGCTGGCTGATCCAGTGGCTGTAACTACTGATCTGGTTAATATAGAGCAGGGATAGTTATGCAATTTTTTTTTGCGAATATTGAAATAACAGAAGGAAGAAACTGCAAGCTTAGATTGGTACAGGGAGTTTCATCTGGTACCCTAGAGTGGAGATGCTGGCTGATCCAGTGGCTGTAACTACTGATCTGGTTAATATAGAGCAGGGATAGTTATGCAATTTTTTTTTGCGAATATTGAAATAACAGAAGGAAGAAACTGCAAGCTTAGATTGGTACAGGGAGTTTCATCTGGTACCCTAGAGTGGAGATGCTGGCTGATCCAGTGGCTGTAACTACTGATCTGGTTAATATAGAGCAGGTATAGTTATGCAATTTTTTTTGCGAATATTGAAATAACAGAAGGAAGAAACTGCAAGCTTAGATTGGTACAGGGAGTTTCATCTGGTACCCTAGAGTGGAGATGCTGGCTGATCCAGTGGCTGTAACTACTGATCTGGTTAATATAGAGCAGGTATAGTTATGCAATTTTTTTTTGCGAATATTGAAATAACAGAAGGAAGAAACTGCAAGCTTAGATTGGTACAGGGAGTTTCATCTGGTACCCTAGAGTGGAGATGCTGGCTGATCCAGTGGCTGTAACTACTGATCTGGTTAATATAGAGCAGGTATAGTTATGCAATTTTTTTTTGCGAATATTGAAATAACAGAAGGAAGAAACTGCAAGCTTAGATTGGTACAGGGAGTTTCATCTGGTACCCTAGAGTGGAGATGCTGGTTGATCCAGTGGCTGTAACTACTGATCTACTTAACATAAACCAGGTATAATTACGCAATTTTTTTGCACGCTCAGATTAGCACAGTGCGCTTTATCTACTGCTACGTAGTGGGGATGCTGGCTTATCGGCCACTTGGAAACAATCCTCAGTGCGGGATAACGTAAAAAATCAGTATTATCACTGCTTTAGAATCGAATACCGTATTTCGTGTGAAATTTAACTTTTTCTCGAAACTGTCGTTAAGTGAGTATGCACCATCAGTGTCACAATCAGGATACACCAGCGAGTATGAAGATTTTTATTAAAGGATACAAAAATATGATTGTCATTGATTTTTGATCGAAAACCCATCGTTTTTTAATCTAGCAATTGTTTAAATTTTAGTTTCTCCTTTTTTTCTGAAATAACTTGATTTTTTATTTTTCTCTATTTTTTTTTTTTTACTACTCCAACCCAATGCGGGTTCCGACGCAAACATAAATGAGTATCGCGTTACTGATAATAGACAAGCATGAAATATGGAGTGGCGCTCGTTGATCTTTATCTCTGCGTGTTGGCATTACATCTACATAATAGCCATAACTTTTTGAATATATTATACCGTGATATAGCGACGGGTTGATCTACATGGTGTTACGTAAAAAAAAAAAAGAAGGAAAAGTCGCAATCTTCGTACAAAGGACATCAAGCTGTCCTGTTCTGCATAATTTTTTTCAAATCTCCCGCCACCTCAGCGAAATTTGTGACTGCGTGAAGTAAATGAACCAAAAAAAAAAGGCAGCAGTCGCCCTGCTTTTCTTTATACCTCAGCCGCTTTAAAACACACGGCCTCCTTGTGTTAACACGCACGGAGTATACGTGTTATGCGGGTGGTTGGGCAGCTCGTAACTGGCAAAGAGATTTACGAAAATTTGCGCCATAAATATAAAATATGGGCTCACTGTCCTGGCTGTCGTCATTTAGAAAGGACCACTCCTTTAAGAGGAGACGATAACGAGATTCTTAGATTTACTTCCTTCGTCGAGTAGCTTATTTTCATCTTACACGAAAGTCCAGCACACTCGAACGGCTTTTACTGCCCGGTACGTAAGGTACTCGTATCCAGCCCATAAAATCAATTTGGATTATATATATATATAGTATCGATAAAAAAATAAAACTAGGCTACACGTATATGACACTTGGAATTTTAAAGTGAATATATTAGGGTAGATCCCAGTTGTTAAATTTATTGTTACAAAGTGTTATGGAATAACAAGAAAAAATATTGGACTGTTACGTAATAATTCACGAGCGATAGATTTTCAATATCCGGTTCGTTGCTTGATGGAATTCTGTAGGTGGATTCTGGGAACTATCGTGATATTTCAAGAGTCAGGAAAATCAAGTTTATTGGGAATATGGGAAATTCTCGAGTCCCGATTCCAATATACAATCCATTTAAAGTGTACAGTCGGTGCAACAAGATTATATCTTGTTATTCGTCCGATACAGCGTGCTCTTACGCAATCTGTAATCTTTCGATATTCTTTTAAACCTGTTGCTTCTTTTGTACGGTTAATATTACACCGTGCCAATAAATGCTACTTATGTCCTGTATGGTACGGGATACAAATTGCTGTATGAAAATGGCAGAGGGTCTTGTGGTCTTGAAAGGTAGTAATTTGACATAACGGAGAGGAGTCGGAGAACGGGAGCAGCATACGAAGTGAAGCAAGTAAAAAAAAGAAAGAGAGGTTCGAAGAAAGTAAGAAAAAGAAAATGAAGATTTCGAGGGCTACCGTTTCACGTGGTATTGAGTTTGCGCCTTTATCTTTGAAACCGCTCGTGAAAGTGCCGTTCGGTCGGTAAAGAAGAACGACGCTTCTTGCCGTGGCTTTATCTTTTTTATTCGGGGAAGCACTACTACTCTCTTTATTTGTTTTTTTCCCTCCGCGAAAACGACGGGTTTACCTTTGCCTGGTGTGTTTATTACCTCTGGAATCAGGGTACGCGAGAATTATGGGGTCCGACACGTAGTGATTGTTGGTTAGGTCGGATGAGGAGATGGTTCAAAATTTCTTTCTTTTTTCTTGACTTTCTTGGAGTTCGTATTGAGCGAAGAGCCCTCGCAATTAATTTTGTATGATTTTTACAAGAAATGCTGTTTTTGAAATATCGATCGTTATTTTTTCAATTTTTTTTTTTTTAAGAATTATGAAAAAATCAGACGATCCTTGACGAGAGGCAGTGGGTTAATGAAATTAAGAAATCTGAAGCTACGCGTTAAGTTTTGCAGATGATCGTCAATCGGAATTTTTATCGATAAGCATATAACGTTAGTTGAGTAATAATCTTAGTAAACTTAATGTACAATCGAATCGATATCTATTTTCAAATATTGGATCGTTACAATTAGAATTATCAAAGAAATCAATTTAATTTAACTTTGGCCTACTTTCGAAATTTTATCGCGTTCAGCGCATTTAATCAAATTAATCATCGCGCATTAATCAAATTGAATGTTTAAAAAAAATTCTTAATACTTTTAATCATACTGTTATCACCTACACCCGATGTTCATCGACCGCTTATCATACATTTCTCACTGTGCAAATATAATTACGTTTTTCGTATTATTACCCAATCTTGTAACGTACTGTACTTATACCCAATTCAGATGGAATTTATTGGACACACTCAAGGCATGCGAACATTGAATTGTTCCTCTTGCTTCTGGTTACTCGATTAATTGCATGTTTGATATGCCATATATGATAAAGCAATATTCATACATTGAACTGATTAGAGGCTGTCTTTTTGAAGTACGATTTGGTTTATTGTGCCACGTGGTATTACACATGTAATTATAATGTGAAAGTAAATGTGATCTGCCGATCGTTGAACAGAGCGTAAACCTATGAATCTGTATTATGGAAATTACTCTCACCCGACCCTTGACCTATGTCTCCCTATGCTATTTGGTTCTCCCAGCTTCGCATGCTGCTACAGAAAAAAAAAACCGAAGTTTGTGCGAAGCATTAAGGGACGATTTGACGTTGTGAAAATCGAGAGGATCTTCAGGGATGCTAATAACTGTTAAAAGGTTTATCGTTTCAGGTAGATTCTACGCTTATGGCAATTTCGTGAAATCTTGTTGAAAGCGATGCATTCGCTTGGGTTTATGAGCTTTTTACGTTTACGAATTTTACGTACCTTATGGCGAGTTTACGAGGAACTTTACTTTATTCGACTGTAAAATACTGTCCCGACGAAGAATCGATAGTCTGACATTACATTATATATATATATATATATATATGTACATATGAAAATTATTTCGAATTCAACCAGATGATATATCGGTTCTTGACGATTGCGTAATTTTCAAATTTTCGATTATTTATCAATACGCGTAAATAAAAATTTTCGAAAAAAAATTTGAAATTCACAAAAATAATATTATCACCCACACTGTTAATTACTCTCGAAATCATATCGATTTAACGTACAGCTCATTATAAAATTGAGCGTTAAAAAAAATTCGGATAATTTTGGAATTTCAATATGGCTACAGACTAGCTTATACTAAAAATTCCAAAGACGCTCGTCCGTTGAATTCCACAAAGGACGGACGAATCTCGCAGAATTTAAGTTAACTCGAAATTCCACTGTGGGAGGAAAATACGTCGAACGAAAGGCTTACTTCGGTAGCCATGTTTTATTTATCATTACAAAACCGCGCATGCGCGCTTGCAATGTTACGATAAACAGAATATCATAGAACTTACATAAGTATAGTCATAGGCAAAAATATCAGGGTAATTTTGTTTTCACTTTATTCCATGATCTCTTCTTTTTCTAATATGTCTATACCCCTCATGTTCTCTACCCGTCACTTCATTTTTCACTGTTATTTTTTTGCTCATTTCCCTTTCTTCTCCCCTTACGTCCCTCCCGTAGCTTCTTCTTTCCTGTTCTTTTTTTTTTTTCACACAGACACACACGTCACTCCACTCGCTCCTCTCGACATGGCAGCGCGTGCGAGAATTCCCATCGTTGCATCGCGGCACGTTAGCTTCTTGGAAGGAAGCGTCAATTAACGGGGCACGAGTTTTCGAGCTATAGTAACGGCTCGAATCAAGCATTTGTCTAGCTCAACGCCGCAACACGAGGATCATAACGAACTATGCAAATCAGACGGAGCAACAGGAGGCAAAACGGACTCGTAAATCCAGACGTCGTACATGACGTCTCTGCCATTAATATACAATTACGAGATCCTGTCAGTCGGAAACGAGACTCTGGTATAATTGCACGTATCATTTAACATTTAATCCAATCAACTTATCAAAATCATTGAAACGGATCCGTGCAACTTTACGACGCTTGAATTTGTTTTCTTTCTTTATTTCAATGCAGTTACACGCTCTTGATATTACAGTGAAGGCCGTGTACAACGAAATTTAAGGGACAGGGAAATGACGTCATACCAAATGAACGACTTTACATGCGAAATGAAAATTGCATACGAATTTCTATGAGAACTAATCTTAAGGGGCTAAGTAGGACGCAATGTGCAAAGGACTGCATTGTATATTGATTTCGGGTGTTAAATAGATTTTTGGATTTTTTTTTCATACAAAATTTTATTTTTCATTAGAACAATTCTGATATTTTTTTTTCATTTTTGTGCGTTTTATTTTTTTTTTTTACGCAGTTTTTATTTTTTTCATGATATAGCTGTATAGTCGCTCGCCTATATATTGCTCGTCTATCGACGAGATCTCGACGCTACTTGTTCATGATGAAAATATTATTATCAGTAGATATAGGTATACTGCTGTAATGGTCCAGGGCCCTTTCGCAGCTTCCTAGAATCTCTTGATGGGTATAGTGGTTATCGTGAAGCGAGGGTTGGTTGAGATATATATATATATATACACCATGTATATACGTACCCAATACTGGATTGCCTGAATTACAAACTACCTGATCCTTTCCTCTTATGTAATTAAAATGCAATTACTTATACGCGTACCAAATTCCCAGGTAAGCTTCTTACTCGGTTGCTTTTGGATCCGCGAATCCGGCGCCGGTTTTACGGCATACGTGAAATTCAGCTGGGAACGTTTCTCTTCGTTGTGATACGGAAAAGAGGGATCGCTGGAATTTACGAGTAACAGGGCATCGCACTTACGTTCACTGGAGACGACAAAGGAATTGTTGATCGCCGATATCTGACGTGAGGTAAAATTTTGATTTTTTTTTTTTGATAATTTTTTTTCTTTTTGCACTTGCTTACGGTCGAAAGACTCTGATGCTGCCTTTTTCAAAAAAAATTTGTACGTCATCCTAAGTCGGTGATAGACGTGCGAACTTTGCACATGCAACTGCATAATTCATAAGACTCTTGATCAGATGCTTCGCTGCACATTCTTGATGCAGCTATATGTTTCAATTCCCCGGCGAATAAGAGGCTGCTCTCTGTATCTTTTATTTTACAATGATTTTTATTGAATTCTCACGCCTTCGATAAATGGTCTCGGTCAATTTTGAATTTCAATTAATTTACATATCTGTTATATAATCATAAGGAGTACAGGGTGAGTTGTCAGATTTTTGTAATCATTTTTTGTCTATTATTATTATATGACTTTGTGCAAGTAACTATATATATATATTTTTGTTTCAATTTATTTCAATTCCCAAGAGAGAGCCCACCGACCGTAATCGTAAAAGCTATTAAATCGGAATTCAAGAATAATTCAGATTACAGTATCATTGCGCAATAAATTCCATATAACCGACATAGAATCCTCGTATAAAACCGTCTGAAAATTAATCCCGAGGGACGTGACGTCAGCGCCCGTATTAAAGACCAAGAATAATTTGATCCTTTGAAGAAGCACTCCCTCGAACGATCTAGCGAACTTGTACATTACAAGAGAGGTACTTGAGGTCTTAATCGAGGTCCAGGCCGAGGTCGACAAACTGTCAAACAGTCAAGCAGCTGCTTAAATTTTGACAATCGTACGACGTATTTTCGCCTCGGGCCCAAAACCGTACGACATATCCACTCCGATGGTTAAAATATGCGAATCGATCCGATTACGACTACAGTCGATTCTAATTGTAAGATTTGTCTAACGGGGCGTTAATACGAACACGCATACTTTATTATTGATAATTATTGTGATTACGCAATTTTGTTCTCGTTGATCTGAAACATCCTGGATTTGGCTGGAGTCAAAGCTGTAATTTAACGTTGAATTTCGTACAGGGTACTAGGTGGACGGCATAGCGTAGTTGGGGGGGGGGGGG